AAACAAACTTTCAGCTGCATTTGATTTGCCACACTTGCCACTGCCAGGGCAAGGAGCAGATAAATTTATTACCGACCCTGCCACTGTGCCACATTGTCATTGACATTTGGCTCCCTGAGCATTTGGCCAGAGATATTAGTCTTGAATAAAAGATGAACCCAGCCCAGTTCCTTCAGCCATGGTCAAAGACTTATTTGGAACCTGGTCTTGCTGCTTCAAGCACTATTGTTTTAGATATGGTGGATTTACTGGAAGCACTAGTATGCTATCATGTCCGCCTTAAAGATGGTATGAACATCTGGAGCAACTAGTCTCCACAGCAAAAAACTAATTTGACTATAAACAATTATACTGATTTAGCACTGTTTATTAGTTACAAATATAATCTAGTCTTTTTTACTGTGACCACTGGAGGGTAGTGAATACTCCTGATCCTATATACAGTCAGTTCCATAATGCAACACTTCTACAAAAAAAATGATTAATAATAAATAAATAAAACAATTAAAAGAAACAGTAGTGTTATTGTTATTCTGTCCACTGCCAAGTGGAGATCCAAAGTGCCAAATAGAGGTGGACAAATCATTCACAAAGGTAGTTGTTATTGCAGGGTTGTTTTTTCAAATGCAATGCTTTGCTGTAAAAGAAAGTGAAATTCTTCACAGCTTTGATGTGCACTGCCTATATGTAAGAGACACGTCCAGCTGTGGACTGCAGCAACTTCATGCAAGAGCACATAGAAATATATCAACATTTTAGGCTGGGTGTGTATTTCCACAGGAGGTGTTAAGCTTAGCTTAGCTCAAACTCTGGAGGTAGAGGGAAACTGCCAGCCTATATATATTTAAAAAACACATTATCCAACAGCTCCACAAGGGTGTTGTTTACATGTTGCATTTTGTTAGCAAGCAAATAGCAATAATATTCAAGAACCAGGTCAGATTAACTTATTTACATTAGACAACTATATGAGTCTTCCAAGTTTGTGTCTACCGCCTACAGATGCCATACAAACTTTAATCCACATTGCTATGCCACGTGAATCGAGTACAAGAGTAAATGTGAAGCTAGTGACTAACATGAAAGAAATAGAGGCAGGTTTAGATATTATAGGGTTTTTATTACAGTAAAATACAGCACTCCAGAGGCAGTTTGAAGCCTTGTTTGCAGTATACAGAGGGGATGTTGACAACAGGGAGTCACTGTTTGTTCAGTCTTTCACAGAGAAATAATGGCCCTCAATAGTGCAGCATGATATCTTTATTTATACGCCTGAGCCTGTTTACTCATCAATTATCACTTCCTCAAAACTGGAGTCTGATCTGTTTGTGATTTTACTCAGGAATATTATTTCCCTCCCAGTGTCTTTCCAAATCTTTTTGATAAACTGTGATGTTTCATTTAGTTTTTTTGTTTTTTAGTTGTATTCATTTTGTGGACAGGTGTGCTGGTGGCAACAAAGCCATTACAGATCCAGTATGGTTTATTATAATCCATAGTATTTTTCAGAGCTCAGTTATCACATGAATAAATAGTCAAAATCTTCCCTCTGGAAGCTTAAATGCACTCACTTGTTATCCTCTCTCCAATTTAAATGATAATGTCCGTAGACCACATGCACTGCATTGATCGATTTTTGCTTGTATGTCCTTATTCTCCTGCGATGAAAAGATAATAGGAGACTTGGGTAATAGGTGACAAGAGGCATCATCTGGAATCAATGATTGTATCTGTAAAATGACCCATGGGGGAGGTGCGCTATAAACAGCTGAATGATCTAATTACAAGCTATGGTTCATCAACAGTAATCGCAGCATATGGAGAGAATCACTCAGGAGCAAGCCATCAAATTTTACCCTGCTGAGGCGTGCTTAGACTTGTTGTGGGAGGATGAAGGATTGCCAAGTTGAACAATAACCTTCTATTACAAAGGCCAAACGTCTATGCCAATATGTAATTTGGCACAGACGATGGATTGTAATTTGAAGTCGCCTCACACAGACGCAAACTATTTTTCAAGGGTTCACAGAATTTAAAGATTTGAGCTGTTTTCAAAGACAAGCAATAATGACGAGCAGTGGACCTAGCTAAGCGAGATGTGAATGATGGGAAACCTTGAGAGTTGAATTATGCATGAAGCAGGTAATTATCCACATGCAAAATGTTCCCCAGTAACATTTTGCCCCTTCAGCACTATGTTGAAGAGCACCAGTGATGCAAATTCAACCAACCCAACCTTTTTCCATTAATCTCAAAATAGCAGAGGGCTCAGCCGGACCTTTCTCTAAACGTCTTTAAATGTTCCTTTAAATCTGTCCTCCACTCCCCAAAGGTGGAGCTCACTGCCTTATTAAAGAACCTCCGCGCCACCAAACCTCTCTGACCTCATTAAATCTGTAGCATATCAAACTGCAAATGGGATTCAGCATTTATTTCAAGGCAACACAATAAACTAGAGGACAAAAGACACACAAACTTCTCATTACTCCTGTCCACCTGCTCACACACAAAAACAATTAATGTTTAGCTAAATGCTGTACAAAATTATAAAAAAAAAAAAAAGAAATCTGATGCAAATGTAATCACAACAGTGTTGTATACTTCAAATTAAACCCTGTCTCAGTAAAAGGTTAAACAAAGTTCAGGTTATAACACCTAAAATAAAGTTCAGAATAAAGGAGCTTCAGACCAAAACTATCACGTCTTTATTTAAGTGTTTTCCTTCTTTTGTCTGTAGTTTTATTGTGCTTCTTTTTTCCTCTTAAACACTGTTCATATAAACTAACAACTGCATGAAGGGAACATGCATTTTTATGGAGAAAATTACATGATGAAATACATTTGACTTTTGATTCCTGAAAAATTAAATCCGAATAGAAAGCCATTTCCGAATAAAATGTAGTCTTGACCCTTTTAACACAGCCTTTTAACATTCTTTGTGAAAGTTAGTGACTGCATGGATTTGCAGTGTGATGGGGTGGTAGCTGAGCGAAATGCAGATCTTTTATTTATAAGCACCTGGGTGTTTGAACATGGTCATGCAATGCTAATCACATGGGCCTGTAGAGGGCCATGCATCATTCTTATGGATGTGGAGTTGACTGGGTGAAGGCTTGGAGTTCCAGAGTTTGGATGAGGTTTGACTATAGCTGAAGTCTAAGAAGGTAGAAGGTGGAGGACAATGGAAGTTATGGTTCTGGAAAAAAGTTATTTTCTTAAATTTTTTTATATGTTCTGATTCATAAAAAAATATCTTTAAAAATGAAATATATTTCTCATTATACAGGGCTGCAACTAATTATTATTTTCATTATTGAGGCTGATGATTGTTTTCTTAGGAATTATTTGGTCTATAAAAAGGCAAAGATGGCATACTGAAGCTTGTTTTGTCTGACGAACAATCCAACCATTAAATATTTGCATTTAAAGCAGCAAGAAGGAACTTTCATTTTGTGTTGATTCTGGCGCCCCCTGTGGACAAAAGCGGTAATGTTTCAACTGCCCTGTTTGTGTAGAAAAAACAAATCTTTTCACTGATGGTCTTGTGTGCTTATGTAGGCCCTACAGAGGCATCAGTATTAAACTAAACTGTTTCATAACCAGTTAAAAACTTCTTGTAGTAGGTTTAATAAGCTCAAATCTGTTGTCATTTTTCGAGAAAATACTATTATTGATTATCAATAGTTCCTGCTTAGTTTTTTGTTGATCAACTAAATGACTAATTGATTATTCAACTAATCATTTCAACTCTAAAATACATTTAAAGTCAGTTTGACTAAGACTAAGAGTCTACAGCCTTGCTATCAGCGCTGTGAGGCTGTGTTTTGGCACTTTGAGCTTAAGTACAGCTGAGGCTGATTACTGAGCAAATTAAAATTTTGACCTGATGATGGCCCTATAGAGGTAAAGATAAGGGATCAAAGTTATTCCAAGTTGTTGAGAAATTTCCTTTAAAACCACTAATGTGAACATCATGGTGGCACAAGAGGAAAAGGCAGGTATCACCCAAATCAGTAGAATTTATCTTCTGCAGACAATGAATGTCTGTGCAAAATTTCATGGAAGTCTTTCTGATAGCTGAGATATTTAAAAAGTTATCATCAAAGTTATCATACTAAGAAATGTTCATGTCAACACATACATTCTGTTTATAATAAAGATACAAATCGACACATGCAGCATACGCTCTGATATTTACAGGCAGAAGTGTCAACACATTGCCTATCTCATCTCCTGTTATTTAACATGACCTTTGGCTGGAGGTGAACCCGGTGAAATCCCTCTGCAAACACAGAGTCATCACCAGAATTAATTGCAGAGGAGCTGTCAGAGGGGGAACTGCTCTGGAGAAGGACTACCAAAATAAGGTGCATTGATCACCAGCCAGTCAGAAATCCAATGTGGAGTAATTCACTATGGGTACAATTAAGCTTTGTGCTGAGATGAGGGATATTATTTCAGCAGGAGGGGTTTGCAGGTGTCTGTTTGAGCTGATTAAATGCTCACTAACAGTGAATAGATGGCTCAGGTGCTGTCAGAGCTCATACAGTCAGAGGTGCTGTTTGTTCCCTCGTAAAGCTTTATCTTTCCCCTGAGTACATACTGTAGTTAAAGCAGGATGGAGCAGACCGTGTTGATTAAACTGATGATGATGAGTGTTTGTTACAGTAACTCTCTAAGTATTTCTCTTTCTCACATACTCTTTCTTGCTTTTATCCTCTTAATTTCTTTGACCTTGCCTCAGTTTTTTCTAATTTTTTTTCTCCTTTACCCATATTCATCTTCTAAATAAAGTAGTCGCTCTTACTTTCCTCCTTCTCTTTATTCATGATATTAGATTTAATGCTCAGGTTCGTCCTTGTCAAGTTTTTTTCCTGAAGCCCTTTTAATTTCTTCTACATATTTCTTCCTTTTTAAGTTTTCACACTCATAATGTCTTTCTGCTAGTCTAACAGCAAGTCTTCTCTCCCTCTTGTCTATTTATCCTGTATCGTTACTAGGCGTGGCTGACTGAGATCCATGAGTACGCCCAACAGGATGTGGTGCTCATGCTGCTTGGAAACAAGGCAAGGCATTATTATGTATTAACTAGATATTTGTGACTATTGGTAGATATCCAGTAGAAAAAAACGTCAATACTATACAATATTTTAGGTAAAATGTGTCTCTGGCGCAGATTATCGAACAATGTTGGCATTTTTTCTAACTCTTAGTTTAATTATTCTTTGATTAGAAAAAGTTAAACCGTGATGAAGTTATGGTATAAGTATAAGGTATAAGGCATATTTTATATCTTTTTGTTAACAAATCCCATGAAATAATCAAAACCAACAATGAATTGATCCTACTAACAGGTAGCCGCTGTGTATCTCATTGATATATTTTATTCCTCTGTGCACACAGAGCTCCATTGTTAAATTATTAAAAACACATAAATGACCCCACTGTTGCACTGGGTGACATGTTCCTTCATTACTATGTTTGAGCCAATGCCAGACACCATAAATACTGACTAGAGCGCAAAATTTATATGAATCCACGGCTAAAAGTAGGCCTTAAAAAATACACTATTGATTCTTATTTTAGTAATGTTAGCTAAAAACTACAGTGCCCAGCTGTCTCAAAGCAATTTCTTTATTTAAAGGCTTTTTTTTTAAGTTATTTTTTTGGCCTTTTTGTTGGCTTTATTTTTATAGAGAGACAGGAAGGGTGGGTGGAGAGAGAGGGGATGGCACACAGCAAGGGGCCGCAGGTCGGATTCAAACCCAGGCCGCTGCAGCAACTCCGTATATGGGTCGCCAGCTCTAACGACTGAGCTGACCAGGCGCCCTATTTAAAGGCTTTTTAACGATTTACATCCAATGGGCTAGGGCTAAGTAGTATTAAGAAAGCATTGAGAGATGCACTTGATGCTCTGTTGCTGTCTGTAGTTTCATGGGGTTTGTTGACAATTACAAAAGTATAGAATATCACCATCTTTTAAAGCTTCCTTTTATTCAGTAAAAATGTTTTCTGGCTCCCCAATGTGAAGTACGGAAACAAATGTTGGTCTTGTATCCGAATCAAACCTCATGTGTTTTATTGGCATCAGTAATGATAACAACTACATTTAAGTCATTGGTGACTATTTGTTTGATAGACAAAGTACAATTACTCTTGTCAATTTCAAGCACACACAAACATCTGACAAAATCTTAAGCTGCTAATTTGCAAATCAGTGTTGCACATTTTTTTCCTAAAACTGCCATTCACATCCCTCCCTCTGAACAGAGAACAGATGTCTCTGCCTTGGAGCTCTGTCTAGTCTCAGTCCCCCACGCTCCATATCAGTCCTTAATTAGCACCCTGAGAGCCAATCTTGACTCACTTGCTGCCATCAGACCTCAACACCAGGAAAGGCTTGTGTGTAAACTGTGGACAAATAGCAAGCAAATCTCCTCGGTGGGTGGGTGGTTGTTGTGGTTTTAGCACTGATGTTGGTGCATGATGCTCGTCTGTGTGACCTTGTTTGTTCCTGTCTCACCAGGCTGATGCCACACATGAGAGGGTGGTGAAGAGAGAAGACGGCGAAAGGCTCGCAAAGGTTAATTATCGAGACTTAATGAAAACATGTGCACAATTTTCTTTGTCCAGATGCCGCAGCTGTTACAATGAGAAGCTACACCCTGCATAATTTGAACGTTTTAAACACATCTTTTTTAATTCTTGTGAAATCAAGGTCTCGTATGTGACAAATGAAGGCAATGATTTCTCATTTCATGTAATATTGCAGAGGTATTTGTATGGCTGATTGAATTTCTATGGCAGATGAGAAGATTATGAATATTACAGAAAGGTGGGATTATCTAGGGATCATTTTCATTTTCACTCTTGCTCTTATCTCACAGAAACCCCTTCTACTCTGTGAGGAAAATGTACCACCTGCAAATTAAAAAAAAACAGATAAGACAAAGAAAACCAGACACTTCAGATGTATCACACTACTGTAGATAATTAACATTTGATAATGATTATTTATTGTATGGATTCCTGCCTTCTATGTCACCATCCATAAAAGTTTTATGCTCCTGTGATAGACATCAGTGCAGGCACAAATACAACCACTAACCACCGAAACAAGGAGCAAACATTTGTTTTTATCAATCTCCCTTACCGTTGCTTCACAGCATGACACACAAAAACTAATAGCAAACAGCCAGGCGATTCTCTCCAGAAGTGGGAGCAATAAAGTGCCACTAAGTAACTTAAGGTTCAGCCTGGGAGGGGAAAAAAGCATATCTGTTACCATCACTGTGGGCTGAGACAAATTCCCCTGCAGAGGAAAAGCTGGGAGACAAATTTATCACATCTGAGCTGGATGTATCCACAGTTCACTATTGTGCTGTGAAGTTCAATTATACTTTTTATTCAATAGCCTTGATTTTTATTTACTTTTTATTTTTTGTAGCACATCAGAGAAGCAGCTTTCTGCTGAAAAGTGTTAAATTATCATACATACTGTTAAGCATAAATCAACATTTCTAATAAATGTCATTGCTTTGACTCTGCAGGAGTTTGGAGTTCCCTTCATGGAGACCAGCGCCAGGTCAGGTCTCAATGTAGAGCTGGCTTTCACTGCTGTGGCTAAGTGAGTGTCATTCTTTCTGAAAGTGTTGTGGATTGGTTTAATCAAGAGAAATGTCATTTAAATATATTTCAATACTTACATACTAACTTATCGCATTAAAAATTCTTCTCCCTCATTGGAAAATCCAGAATTTTTAAATATGCAAATATTTTTCATCTACAGCGAAGTAGGAGACTAGTGCCCAGTAAAGTCCATTGTCAGTTTATGCATGTTTAACCACAAACTACATGTGAAAATCCTGCTCACATGTACACATCTTAAAGAAACCAGTGTGTAGGATTTAGTGCAGTACATGCAGATTGCAACTTTCAAGTGCAAAGCAGAAACTATGTTGGCTACTAAACATGCAAAACATGCATGTGGCCTTATCTAGAGCCAGTATTTGGTTCGTCCATTTCTGTCAATAGCTCTTTAATAGATATTCTTAAATGTTACACACAGGACCTTTAAACCTTTTTTAAATTTAAGATGAGCACAAACATTCCCCCCTTTAGCAGATGAATGTGAAAACAGCCTTACAGTGTCAAACTGCACATCATTTTGCAAAGTAAAGTAACAATAAGTTATTCATATATATATATCTGAAGATAATAACATGATATACGCTTTATGCTTAGGTTACCAAATTAGTTTTTGGAGTAACTTAAGCCATAAACTGATCATCTGTAGTGTTTATGGCGGGTGGGTCTGTTTTGGTTCAACCTCCCCTTATCCTCTTCTTTTGTCTCAGGGAGCTGAAGCACCGGTCTATGAAGGATCCCAGTGAGAAGTTTAAGCTCCAGGAGTACGTAAACAAGGAGATGAAGAGCACAGGCTGCTGCAGGTCTTAAAGCCTGCCTTAGTCATTCTCTGGATCTGTGTGTGTGTATATTTATGTGTGTGTGTGTGTGTGTGTGTGTGTGTGTGTGTGTGTGTGTGTGTGTGTGTGTGTGTGTGTGTGTGTGGCGCATTCATGTTCATACAGTAGGTGTTCATATCTAGCCTGATCAGAGGTGGAGTCAGCTCCAGCGAGGTATAAACCTTTTTGTCCTTGTTTTTCCGCTCTCAAACCTCCCCGTCTCCGTCCACACAACCGCCATCTGTCATCTTGCACTCCTTTCACTGCCCTACTCCATCTTGTGTGTCCTGCTTTTTCCTCACCCACCTCCTTCTGCAGCTGCGAATGTAGCCCCAGGTTATGGTTTGCAAAAGACAAAGCAATGCGCTGCTCACCTCAGTTATTAATCTATTAATGGACATTTTCTTCCATAACTGTAGCTGCATGATAATAATAATATCACCCCAGCATTGAATCGGACACCTTTGCATTACCTTATGTGGTTATTTTATTGTGACGGGACTTAATCACAACAGAAATTATGGTCTTTTGCAGACACAAGATACATTTATTTCTCACAGCCATTTAAAATGTTAATGACATTTGCCATTTTGTGATCAGCGCATGGATGAATGTTCATATAATAGATGTACAGTGATGTGTTGTCTGTACATGGTTCAGTGTTCATGTCAGTAATTCAACAGGCTCTTTGCAGCCAGTTTAGCTCACCAGCATAAACTCAATCTAAGCATTTCCATGATTCAGCTGTGGATATTTGGGAATATGTATTACTACTTTTACATAAAAGTTCATATATGTTGCTATTGTGTATACAAGAATATTAAGTACAGAATAGCATCATTAGCCACAATACATGATTCTTTTAGTAGATTTGAATTCATGCTATATGCAAAAAAATGAAGAATACAGCAGTTTAAATAAACATTAGAAACATGGCAGTGCATGGGTTTTTTTCAATATTATAGGGTCAATGTTAAGTCTTGGAGTGCTCTAATGCAACATCTCTTCTTGATAATATACATATACTTTTTTTTTAATTGTTATTTAAGCTTTATGTAATCTACACTGGGGTTTTGACAAACGTGATGTAAATACTTTTTTCTGCATGTAAAAAAGTTTTGATGGAGAATAGCACTTTAGATGGTAAATAAGAGCGTGCTAGGGAATAAAGACCTAGAGTATGTTGACAATGTTACCTAGAGTATTGTATATGACACACAGACATGTATATTTCTCTTTTTCCTTTGAATGTTATATTTGTAGTCGAATGTGCAAATATTTGTTGGCTGCTTTATTTCCTGCTTTTTTGTTTTGCTTTTATTTTCCATTCAGAAATACATAAATAGGGTATATAGTGCCATGTTTTCTTAAAAACATATTTCTTATAATCTGTTACCAGTATTTAACCTGTTCTTCGTAAAAGAAGCATAGGCCTCTTTTTATATGACTGTTGCTTTAGTAGTTTCATCTTAGTCATAGAAACCATAAAAACTGAATATCTCTGTACAGCATTTACTGTACATTTTTTCAATCTTGATGTTCAGAGTAATGTATTGATTTGTGGTTTGACTACTTTTCAATGTGCAACTTCTTTCTTGTAACTGAAAGTTAACTACAATAAAAACAGAAGGTAATGTGGCTTTTACCCTTTTAATAGTGACCATATTTCAGAGTCACTTGCACAAATTTCACTCCAACACGACTGTACAGTGAATTCAGAGCATGAGTTATAAAATAATGTGTGTGGCGGAGATTTGGGCAGATGCACGCTTACAGTGTTTGCTTGACCCCAGCTCTTCAAGTTTGAACAAAGGCACTGCTGCCTTTCTCTTCAGCACTTACACAAATAATTTAATGTGCACACCTGTCGTCACTGGTTTGATGAGGTTAATGAGCCCCTTAGTTTAGGGAGTTTAAAACCTTTCCTTTGTCTCCCTCTGCTGGATAAATAATTATAATACATTAAAAGATGTTTGAAATTTGGATAGTTTTGCAAAAACGAGAGGCAAAGGAATGCAAGCCAATTCTTAAATGTGATCATAAACGTCACACAAAGCAATTTACATTCAGTTGCTTGAATATGTACAAAAAAGCAAAAATAGCTTATTATACCTGCAGTGCTTAACATAAATTTACAAGCAGCATAAAGCGTGGTAGACAGTTAAAAAAATAAATACATTAAGAATTAAATACCATGGTACTCATATGTGGAAATAAATGTGAATATGTGTGTGAATATCTGTAGACCATGTATGTATTATTCCTTCTTACTAACATATTACACTGTGTGTCAGATAATGTTTGTCTTAGTCTGCAGATAACTAGCCAGAAGGGCACAATTTGTACACCTAGTTGAATTGCAAGGTTAATTCAGTTGTATTAACATCTGAGTAATTAAGTATGTACAATACTATTACTGAGATCAGAGAGAACCACATCTTTTGACATCCAAGCAGCAACGCTTCTGATTCCTACAAACAAGTAACTTCAGCACATTCAGGTCAAGATGACTGACTTCTTTCAAGTATGTAAGTCGCATAACAGATGAGTGAGTTAGGGTAACATTCATGAGCTTAGGAGTGATTCGGACTTTCTATCAAATGGGTCTGGCACATAACATAGGTGAGGTTGAGCAGGGTGGCAGGTAGAGTAAAGGAGTCACTGTGGGGACGAGAACTGTGGTCTCACCTTTTAGTCCTTTTTCTATCACCCTTAAGTTTTTTTAAAGGCTCCCATTATGAGATATCGAGTACATATCTGAGGTCCTCTTCCTCCTCCTCATTTTGCACCAACAGTTGACAAACACTAAGACAGTCATGGTTTGTGCTTGAAATAGGCCTCCACTGTGGAGAGAACAGAAAAAATATATATCCAACTGAAAAATTAAGGGGGAAAAAACTCAATAATGACTTTGCTGACTTGGGTGTTCAGTTTACCTGCATACTCCTGAGGCATCATTGGTCTGCTGATAACAGTCTGAAATGCAGCGATCCAGTCTTTCTGATCCTCTTCAGTTTCACATGCAAATAGAAACTTCCTGTCCGGGGTCACTATGGTAATTCCAAACAGCCAATGGTAGCCCTGAATGTTCGGGGGGAGGCCGGGAAGCACAGTGTAGCTGTTTTCCTTACTACCAATGAACACCTCGCCTCGTGCATAGGCATCCTGGAAGTGGAGGGGAAAACAT